AATTATTAGAGAAGTGGAGAACAATCGCATATAAACTGAATGACAATTATATGAATGCCTTTCCTTTGCAACAAATGCCCAATCATTACATTATGTCATACAAAACGAATGACTTGTGAAAGTTTTTAATACAACATTAATATCATTATTATTATTATACAACTAAAGCATTAAAAAAGGTTTTTATTACTCAATTCTCACTTAATATTCAACTAATTTGGACTACTTTTTGAATTAAAATCTCGTGTGTATTACGGAATACTGTACTGTATATGACATTCAAAATTTTGCCAATAAATATAATAGCATTTCTATACTATATTTCTAAATCAATTTGAAATGCTTTGTTTCCTCCGAAAAGAATACTATTTATTTATGGCATAGAATATAATATAGAAAATAAGTGTTTTGTTATAAATATGTTTCAGTTATTTTAGATGAAATGCTATTTCTATAGTTTAAATCAAAGTCTGTATCTATTGGTGTCATTCATGTCAGCGAATCATATGTTTTATTGATGGGGAGAGCGCTCGAGGGGTACCTCTAATAGTGTTTCGCATGCGAGAAGACACGGATCAGGTATTCCTGGTTTGATGTCGTGTAGAGGCCCTCAGAGTCGGTGCACTTGTGCTCAACCGTCGAGTTGTCGACACATATGAACCGCTTTTGATCGAAGACCGAGTCGTCGTCGCAGAGAAATGTGATTCTTTGGTATAAGAGCTCATCCGATGAGGAGTTGAAGAAAGGATAGCATAGATGAAACACATGACACTCTTTGGACACATCCGCGTACTGACCAAACGATCGCCCGAAACAACTGAACGATGAAGAGCTCTGTTTGTCATCCAATCCGTTGTATTCAGATGTTATCAACTCTTCGGGCATGGCTTCAGTGGTCGACTGTTCATTGGGTTCTTCGCTCGTATTGTCCACCTCTTCCATCAGTAGATAGGTTTGAGTCGTCTCTTCAGATAGAAGTGCAGAATCGGTCGATGAGTCCGACTCCTCGGCTTTCATTTGTTCATTGGATTCCTCGCCTTTCATGATATGAGGAGTTTGTTCGGCAGACATGTCCGACATTTCTTCATCGGCTCTGATGACCGAAATTGTGATCATTGCGATGACTATGGGATCAATACTTTCATTTGTTCATTGGATTCCTCGCCTTTCATGATATGAGGAGTTTGTTCGGCAGACATGTCCGACATTTCTTCATCGGCTCTGATGACCGAAATTGTGATCATTGCGATGACTATGGGATCAATTAAATTGGTTAATACATTAAATGATTGGATTCAAAATGAATGGACTCACGAATAATAATAGACTTTGAGAACATGTTTACAAATATGATATATACGGTATAGAAATAAAATATATTATAAAACTAATGAAATGAATATAAAATAGAAATATAAAACAACTTTTGGAGACGACTTGTTATAAAAGGAGCGAAGAAGTGAATGAAAACTCTGTCATAGGATCAGGGTCTTATATACCAATTTGGGACTAATAGATGAAAGTTAATTCTCCAATCAGATTGCTTCATTTGTGCTAGATTATAAATTGTTAACTTTTAATGGAAAATTCTCCAACTTTCACAAACTTTTGAATTAAGTTTTGATAATCTAAAGGCAAACTGTCTTTTCTAAAGCTGTAATCCCTTCATATTCATAATGATTATTATAAAGTATATTACTTTAACGGAATTTTTTATAATTAAAGTTTATAACTTAAATTCTATTGTATTATTTATTTAAAATTAAATGCCAAGATTTATTTTTCCATTCCTAAGGTCTAATATTAATACAGTATTTTAAAAGTTTTATTGGAAAACATGTGAATTTGAATTAACTATGAACTAGTATCATTCGTATACTAATATTATGGTTCTTTTCAATATAAAATATATTATTCCTTTAATAATATATAATATTCAATAGAAAGTCTATTAGAAACTATGAATTATTGCTTCCTATTATCAGTTTTTACAGTTGAAGCATAATATGTGAATATAATGTACCTTAAATTGTAAATTCATTGGCAATGAATGTACTGAACAGTAGCTTATATCAAGAATCTAAACGAATTGCTGGTAAATGTGACAAAACATAGTCTACTGTATATTTAGTTTTGATAACTGAATTTAATTTTGTAATTTTTTAGATATACTTCATAATTCTCAAGGAATTTTACATAAATCACAAACCAATATAATTATTTGAAATTAATTTTTAAATCGTTGTTTTATCATTTTAATTGTTCAATATTATCAAATGATATACATTTGACACTTTGTAGCAAATTAAGTTTAATTTTGACAAATCATTTTCTGAATAAAGATTTTATAAGTAATTGTCGTTAAATGTATAAATGTTTACGCAACATAGCTATAAATTACATTTACAAATTAATAATTAATATTAATGTTATTAAAAAAATAATGAATCTGTGCCAACTTTAGTTTAAACCTATTTTATACTAACTTTTTATCACTTTTATCAGGTTTTACATTTTTATCAATTAGGTGTGGATATTTTTAAATTTTGTTAAAATATTAGTTCATTTAATTTCAATTTTATAATTAAATAATATAACTTGAATTAATTATAAGTCAATTCAGTATATTATTTTTAAACTGATAAATTCATTATGTAATAACATATTAATTAAATGTTTAAATTCCTATAAATTGTAAATCGTTGTCAGTATAATAATCATAATTAATACCAATTAAATAATAATTATATGGAAAGCACTGAATAAATGTGGAAAAGAGTTCAAACATTTGATAATAATTTTTATTGAAATAAATATAAAATAATTTTTTTGTATCAGAGAAAGTACAATACAATGGAATATATAATAAAATTTTATAAATAAAGTAAATGTAATAAAATAACGAATTGATATAACTTTAAGCAGTACTAAGGGTATGAGTTATTTAAACAAAATGATTGTGTAGTTTTTGAAGCGAAAATAATATGCAATTTAATGATCACAATATAATAATTATTACACATTTATTATCTCAAATCATATAAACTTAGTTTAGTTTTGTTTATTTGAATAATAAAACAATTGAATGAAAAGAGAGAACTTTTCCAAAAATTTAGTGATTTGAGTGAAAATGTTTAGGTTTTACAGACATATAACTCAGTCATAAAGAAATTAATTGCAGACATACAGCGAAAGTGATGAGACATAAAGGACTACCGATATGTACTGTAAGTTAGAAAATGTTTTAATTGAGTCACAACTCTATAATACTGTAATTACTGTCATTTGCGATCAGCACAGAGACCATCCTTACAGGCCTGACATAAGTCGCTGTTATGAGGGGTTCGCGGTTTACCCGATCGACGAGTCTTTTCAATGGGCGGCTGATAGAAGCCGTAAAACAATTGCCCGACTTTGTTGTATAGGTTGGTCAGCACCTGTACCACAATCCACATAATTTAGATATTGCTTATTAAGATAATTTATATTATAAATGGTTGATATAATTGCATACTTTGCACACTTCTTCGGGATACCACATGGCCTGTTCATAGCCATCAGTCTTACACCTATCGCACTGTTGGCCATAAAGTTTGAATGCAACGAAACCATTGGAATAATAGGGCGACAATAAGTCAAACCAAAATACAACTCTCCCTTTCATGGAAGTCCATCCATGTCCACATTTCTATCATTATTCATAATCACAATGTTAATAAAGGATAATAATTTTAACTTTTAATATATATATCAATTAAAGACAAACTAAAAATAATAGGTTTAAAAATTGTTTATATGTTTGTGACTGATACACTATTTTCATATACTTTATTTATAAATATTAAACCAGTTTAGATTTTTACTATCTTATAATCACTGAATGAATTTTATCTAATTACTTTAATGAGATAAAAATTCAAAAGTAACAGCATATGGATTATAAGTGCATTTTACAACAATTAGTACTTTGTATAAAATTGTTTTATTACAACATATGAGTCATATTATCAGATATTTCAAGTATTATGTTAAGGCTTAAGTGCATAGAAAGAATATAAGTACAGTATTGTAAATTAAACTGTTTTATAATGAAAATGATCAAAAAACACTTACATGACAACAAAACCTAACTTTGGCGGAATCAACGAATGTATGCATAGAATGGTTGGCAATGGGTTTGTGTTCAACCGGTTGAAGGATCCAAACTTGTTGGTAGTAATTGCAGAATAATCGGTGAAATTCTGAGAGCCATACCTGTTCCATACCACTGGACACACACACAAACATTAAATCTTTTTTGTGCAAAATTTCCATAAATTTCAATACTTTAACAAATTCATAATACTTTGTACTGTATTAACAAATCATTTTATGTTTATAACGACAATAAATGGCAAGTTAGTCTATCACTAAACATACAAATGACTATTTGATTATGTCTGTCTCCAAAAATTATCAAACTTCAGAATTTCATCAATACTTTCTAGTGTTTTAGGAAATTATAATAAAATTCTTAATCTTAAAATAAACTGATCATGATTAATTTTGCAAATTGGACATTTTACAAATTAAATTTAAAAATTTAAACAAACTATAAGAAAATCTTCATTAATTTTTTATATAACTTTAAATACGAGAATTATTTGAACTAGTTATAGTTGATGGTAAAAATGCAATGTCTTACTAGGATTGGTTCCAAGTGGTGGGTCTTATGACAACACTTGTGCCGTAATTAAAGGCAGATAATGAGAGTGGACTGGCGATGGGCAGTGTTGTGGTGGGCGATGGCGCTAAAGAGCTGCAGTGACTTGAAGATAGTGGAGACACCGATGGCATCGGAGATATCAGAGGACAGGGAGATCCTGGAAGACTAGTCGTCCATAATGTGAGCGGTGGTGAAGGCATACATGGCAATGGAGTGTTGAATACAACCATTTTATGAAATATTAATTTAAAATTTATAATATTCAAGAATATTGGCAAAAATCTTGCACTCAAATGACTTTTGTGTAAAACTTCTTGAATTAGAAGAACTTTAAAGCAAAACAAAAAAAATAAATTTTAGAAACAAAAAATCAAAATGAGATGTGATTTGCGATAAAATAAGTGTAAAACTGAGTGCCAATTGTGCGAAAAGTGCTGACCGACCGAACCGTTGACTTCTTAGTTAAGAATAAATTTCATGAAACAAAAGTTTTTGCGAAACACTATTAGAGGTACCCCTCGAGCGCTCTCCCCATCAATAAAACATATGATTCGCTGACATGAATGACACCAATAGATACAGACTTTGATTTAAACTATAGAAATAGCATTTCATCTAAAA